AACGCGCTAGTCGCTCGAACACCGCAGCGGCTACAAGGACTGTGCGCTACAGACTCGAACGAGCCGATGCCGAAGCAACCGAGGCGTGACTGCGTCAAGGAGGAACGATAATACCTTCAGCAAACGACGGCAAGCTCACTTTTGCGTCAAATTGAGAATCTCCTTGGGATGATCACCGGTGGCATCCCTCAACCTCGTGCAGAAACGTGGCCAACCTACCTTTGTGCAATGGACCGTCCACTACCAAATGCTATGTCATGGGCGCCGCATGAATGATACGTTGAGGCGCGTCCTGCTGACGTGTCTTGGCCAAGCTCAAGTATTTTTAATACCTACTACAGCAAGCACTTGGTGCTCGCAAAGCTCGTCCGACGATCGAGCAACAACTCGGGTTGGCGGGCCATCCAGGTTGACCGATACTTCAACACCTATCCATCTTGAGAGCACTGTCTGCCAGCAACACACGAATGGTGTCGTGACGGTTGGCGACGACCGGCGGTGTCACCAGGTCCACCATGCCGCACAGCACGAAGAAACAAGGGAGTACGGTTATAGTTAAAGGCGCATTTAGAGGTGGGCGGGGAGGACCTTGCCCTCGCAGTCGCCAAAGCCGATGCGGTAGCCCTGGCCCTGGCAAAAGCCGCGGATGTTGACCGAGTCGCCGTCCTTGAGGAACTTGCGCGTCTCGCCGTCCGCAATCTGGATCTCGCGCGAGCCCTGCCAGCTGAGCTCGAGCAGCGAGCCAAAGCTATCTTGGGCGACGCCCGAGATGGTGCCGCTGCCGAGCAAGTCGCCCGGCTGCATGTTGCAGCCCGTCACCGTGTGGTGCACGAGCTGCTGCTTGGGGTTCCAGTACATGTTCTTGTAGTTGCTCTTGGAGATCGTCGCCGCCTTGCCATTCTCGGGCTTGAGGTCGACCTCGAGCTTGATGTCGTACGTGCCACGGGCGTAGTTGCGGTCAAGGAGGTACGGCAGCGGCGCCGGGTTCTGCTCCGGGCCAAAGCTCGGCTCGGTGCGGAACGCCTCGAGCGCGGCAAGGGGCACCACCCACGGCGAGATCGTCGTCGCAAAGTTCTTGGCGCCAAACGGCCCAAGCGGCACGTACTCCCACTTTTGAATGTCGCGAGCGCTCCAGTCGTTCATGAGGACGAAGCCAAAGATATGGTTGTCGGCTTCGTCAATGTTGATCGAGTCGCCGAGCTTGTTGCCGGTACCGACAAAGAAGCCCATTTCGAGCTCAATGTCGAGGATGCGGCACGCCGAGAAGGTCGAGCCCTTGGTCGGGTCGGTGTTGTCGGCCTGGACCTGGCCGCGCGGGCGGCGGATCTCCGTGCCCGAGACAACGACCGACGACGCGCGACCGTGGTACCCGACGGGCAAGTGGAGCCAGTTGGGCTGGAGCGCATTGTCCTTGCCACGGAACATGATGCCGACGTTCGTCGCGTGCTCGCGGCTCGAGTAAAAGTCCGTGTAGTCGCCAATGCGCGCCGGGAGGTGCATGAGCACGTTGGTCATGGGCACGAGCGCGCGGGCGCGGAGGGCGGCGTCGTCGCGGAGCGTCGGCGTGTCCTTGAGGAGGAGATGCTTGATCGTGGCGCGGGCCGAGTCCCACGAAGCCTTGCCGAGGCCCATAAACGTGTTGAGCGTCGGCTCGGCGAAGACCGAGCCGTTGAAGGCCTTAAAGTGGCCCGCGGCGGCGATCACGGCCAAGTCAAGGACAAAGTCGCCGATGGCCACACCGGCGCGCTTCTGCTCGGGCGCATCGCGCGTCGAGAAGATGCCGTACGGCAGGTTCTGGATGGGAAAGTCGCTCGTGGGCGCAATCGGGAGGAAGGACTCTTCGAGCGTGTGCGTGGCAGCCATGGTAGCAGATGGAGTCGGGAGTTGGACGGCGAGGAAGACGAAGCTGGCGACGCCTAAGATCGTAGCGGCCATGAGAAATGCGACGACGCGGCGCATGCTGCTTGCTTACCTTGGGATGCAATTCCAAAATGAGCGGTCCAAGATGGATTTCCGCCGGTATCCTACGAGGCCATTGGCTAAAAAGGAGCCAATGGCATCGCGCCTAGATTGTTCGATTACCCAACTGCAAGTGACTTGTAAACGACACAAATACAAACCGCAAGCTTATTGCGCGCTGCCTTTGGATTGGGCGAAATGACGATCGTCAGCGCCGCCGCCGCCCGAAGATTGCAAATCTGTCGACCGGCGACTCCATCGGAACAACGCTAGTTGGTGCATGACTCCGACGACGCAGTTCTAGCAAAACGCTAGTCAAAATTAGGAGACACAACGCATCACAGAGAAGCCCTCGGCTCAATAGCATGAGCTCGCGTCAACCGTGCACTGCTGTCTCGCTTTTACGACGCGAGAGTATGATCATCTCCAAGATTTCCCGAGATCCGAGTATAAATACGCACCCAGGTCAACTTCAAGATGGTATGGTCCGAGCAAGAATCGATCCAAAGCATTTACCACGACTTGTGTCTTGCTGTGTCTGCGCATTTTCTCTCGCATTTCACTGCCTGCTACATGCATTACCGGTACTAGTAGATGCATTAGACGAGAGTTATAACCCACGAGCTCAATGAATATATGATATGTAGGACACTCTTATTACCAGTGGCCTCTTGGTGCTA